CACCAAAAAGCAAAACAAAAATAAAAACAAATAAACAAACAATAAAATAGGGCTCTGAAGGGTGGAGGGCCCACTGAACCAAGTTTCAGGGGTTTTATGCAGCTGTTTTCAGAGATACTTCTAGGGACCTGTAAGTTTTCAGTCCTTCCAATGTTATATGATCTAAAGAGAAGTGTTTACTACTTTCCTAGCCTGTGCTCTGGTCTCTAAGTGACCAAAACCACTCTTTTCTACCCTGGAACTGTGACAAGGGTCCCTCTACTGCTTTGCTATGCTAGTGCTTCTCCTCACCCTGGGACTGCCACCCAGGACTGGAACCCAGATCAGAGTATGAGCAAAGCAGCTGAGTCCTGCCTCAGTGCTAGCAAAAACATCCCTCTAATCTCCTTCTGACTAGTTGTTTGACTCCCTTACCATCTGTGAGCTGAGAACTCTAGAAGCAGCTACTGCTGTTGCTGATTCAGTGGCTCCCAAGACCTGCTCCTGGTTTGCTAGGGCCGGGTCTACACTAGACTGTGTTCCACTCTCACCTAGGTATGTCAGACCTTTCCTGCTGATCTTCTAAGTTGTCTTTGGAGTCTGTGGGCTTGAGGGTCTAGAAACCACTGCTGCCACTGATTCAATCACCTCGAGGGCTGCTCCTGGTTTGCTAAGGACCGGTCTGTGTCAGCAAGGCATGCACTAGACTGTGCTCCATTCTCATTCTGGGACAACAGACCTTTCCTGCCAACATTCTAAGTTGTCTTGGGCTGAAAAATTGTTTCACTCTGTCTTTTTGTGAGTTCTGCTGCTTTAGAATTTGTTTAGAGTCATTATTTTAAAGTATTTGGTAGGGTTTGGGGAGAGCTCAGGTGAGTACCTGCCTTTACTCTGCCATCTTGGCTCTACCTCCCTCCCCAACAACAACAACAACAACAAAATATATATATATATTTATTTATTTATTTATTTATTTATTTAATATATAATATTATATATTATTATACATAGTTATATATAATATGTTTACATATTGTGTTATACATATTATATGATATGGCATCTTTCATAGTATATTATATATTATATATGATTAATATATAATATAATATGTAATATTTTTTTTTAATTATAAAGGAAAAGATGTCACAAGGAAATAAATTAAGTGCCAAATGTGTGGTTTAAACTAGAGTTGTCAAACACATGTTTCACAAGACGTATTGCAACCCACAATACTCCCTCTGCCCAACCAGATTGTAATGTTATCAGACACAGCTCATGATGGGCTCAGAACGTCCTGAGCTCTCCCACCACCACCAACACTGCCATTCTCACTGGCTGATGATCTCCACCACCTCAGTAGGCTCATATCAGAAGGATATTGTTCAAAAATGAAGAAACTGTCACGCAACTTAACTAAGCCTCCTCCCCCTGACTCCCATGAGCATCATCTCACCCAGACCAGCCATCTTTCAACTCTCCTAGGGACTTTTGTTCACGTCATCAATAACAATAACTATGATTTATATAAGGTTTGCAAAGGACTTCACATGTTTGCTCATTTGACACAGCGAACCTGTGAGATAGGCCTTATGGTTCTCACCATTTTACAGATGAGAGAAGTTACGTGACATGTCACATCACACAGCTATTAGCAACTGGGGTAGGATTGAACTCAGAGCTTCATAATTCAAGTCCTGGACTCTGAGTTATTGCGCCATATCACTGCCTGATGCTAGATTTCTCCCAGCCCAGACCCAAACATGTACCCCTAAACACATTCCTTCCCTCCGTATATAATTGCACTTATATACTACAATAGGCTTAGGGATCACTATTGTACATTTTCTGGTCAACCTTCTCCCTTCAAAGCTCCTTTGTCTTTGGATGGAAGACTTGGAATTAACCACAAGCCTTTGCATTATTTCCCTCCCAATGTTTACTTCCCTACTAGTTGCTTAGCAATGGTCACACACTATCTGGTTGTCTTTGCCTTTATGCTGCTCCGAATCCACCACATAAGGTTGCTGAGAGGAAAGAGCTCAATAAAACTTTTTAAATGTCATGTTAATAAAATGTGAACTATTGTTATTACCACTATTAGCCTTGGAGTCATACTCTGTTCCCAGACAGGACTAATGGATATGTTCAGGGTTGGATTTGCTTATCTCCACTTGATATCCACCATTAATGGAATGCTCACTTCCTCCCCAAACAGCCCATTCCACTCTTGGAATAGTTCTGATTTTTAAAGAAGTTTCTTCCTTACAAAAAGCTAAAATCTGCCTCTCTTTAAATTCTATCTCTTACTGTGAAATTCTGTGGCTCTTATTCCTAAACTCTTTCTGCTACACCACATTGCATATTGAAAGGAAATTCCAAATTAAGAATTTCTTGTATATATTCCTTTGAATCAGAGTGTGTGTTGGGTGGGGGGAGGGTGTAAATTTCATCTGCACTTGAATTCAAGGGTTTCCGACTCTGTCCCTACAATAGGACCAACCTAGAATAAATATAAAAAACAAGAAGTGGGGAACCAAAGAAATGGAGACTAGCAACTTTTATTTAAGGCCCTTCATAATCTCACTGTGGATTATCTTTCCAGGTTTATTATTAATTATTCCTCCTCATAAGCTCAGCTCTCCAGCCATACTGGCTTACTTCACTGTTCCCCATTCACAACATACTCACATTCATCTGTGTGCTTTTCCACAGGTCAGTTCCCCTGCCTGGACTTCTCCCTCCTTATTTCTACCTCTTAGAACTCCTGACTCATTTAAGGCTCAGCTCTAGTAAAGAGTTTCTTCAAGAGGTCTTAACTTACTCACCCAATTATTAGCTCCCCAATTCCCCAAATTGCTGTCCATTTATTTTGTATATTTCTTATTTGTGCATATCTGTAAATATGCATTTGTACTAAATCTAAAAATATGTTGTACTCCCTGAAGAGAAGAGAAGCTCCCTGAGGGTAGGGGCTACTTTATCTTCTTTTTATTCCCAGTGACTAGCACAATGAGTGCAATACAGTAAGCACTTAAATGCTTGCTGATTGATTTGAGTTCTGAGAAAGATCAGCAAAAGCTTCCCAAATAAGATGCTGTTTGGACTGGTAATTAAAGGATGGAAAAGAATTCAAAAGGCAGAGATGGAGAGGAGTATACTAGAATTAGTGAACAGAATAAACAAAGAAAGGGAGGTGGATATCTATAAGTTGAATTTGGGACAAAAAGTAGGTGAAGATAAGTTTTGCCTAGATTACAATTTTGCCAAGACCCAAGTCTGGATATAATTCTGGCTTTGTTTGTTTGTTTTTTGTTTTAAGGCATTGGTAGAGAGAAGATGATTGTGAGGAATACTATAAGAATGAGAGAGATATAGAAAAAAAAATTATGTTGTAGAAGCTTTGCAGTCTCTAAATCTTTGTTATACCAGTCAATTGAATCCATCAACCATTTATTAAATACCTCTCATGTGAAATAATAGTAACAGTAATAGCTAACACTTACATAGCACTTTAAAGTTTGCAAAGAGCTTAATATGTGTTCTCTCATGCATTTAGTAAATGCCTACTATGTGTCAGTCACTGTGCTAAGTGCTAGGTGATAGAAAGACAAAGGTCCAACAGCCCTTGGTCTTCAGGAGCTTTCATTCTGACAGAAGACATAATGCGTACCTGCATAGGTATATACAAGACACATTCAAAGCAGGCTCAAGGTAACCTTAGATTGGGAAGGCACAAGCAGCTGAGCTGTGAGAGATGGGAAGGTAGGATAGGAAAAGCTTTATGTAGAAGGTAACACTTCAGCTGACCCTTGAAGGAAACCAGGCACTCTAAGATATAGAGATGAGGGGAAAGAACATTCCAGACATGGGGACAGATGATTTAAAGTAAAAAGGACAGTAAGTTGGCTAGTATGGCTGGATTGTAGAATGTGTGGAGGGGAATCATGTGTCAGAAGACTAAGGGGTAGGCATGTCTTGGAATTCTCTCTCTATTTATCCCATTTTTTACTTGTTGACCATTCACCTTTCTTTCAAGGTCCATTTCAAATGTCATCTCCTCCATGATGCATAGGGAACAGAAGAGGTTCCTTCCAACTAAAGATTCCTCCCAATTTTGAGAGAGTAGTCCCCCTCCTTACCCAGGTGAAGTCATCTCTCCTTCCTCTGAATCACTTCTTTTTTATTGACATATTCTGTCTAGCTTATATCATAATTGTGGGTTTATATGTTTTATTTCCTCTGTAATACTTCAAGCTCCAAGTCAGAGTCAATACATGAAAGAACATGAAATTTGGAATTAGCAGGTCCAGAGTTTAACCTCAGGTCCCACTACTTTTTAGTTATGCAACTTTAGGTAAGTCACTTGAATCTCCCTAGACTTCGTTAACTCATCTGTATAATGGGATAACACACTACTTTCCTCAGAGGGTTGTTATAAGAGAAGTTCTTTGTCAGTTGTAAAGTAAAAAAAAATATAAACATGAGTCATTATTATTGATTTGTGTATCCCCCTACCATACCTTATGCCTTCTACATAGTAGGTTCTCAAACATTGTTTGTGGAATTAGGGTTTAAATGAATTTTAAATGCCATATTTTATAGAAAAGGGATAAAGTTCCCCAAAAAAAGTTAAAGCCTTTCATGTAGCAGTCTATATTTAGGCAAACTAATCCTTTGGCTTAGAATAAGAGGATAAGGGCATTGAGCTATTGATCAGAAAGTCAGGGGAACATCTCAATTTTTTTAAAAAATGGGAAAACTTAAAAACTGTCAAAAGAGCAAAGACTGGGAAAATAGAATCACAAAATGGAATAGATCTTTGAAATCATATAATGTCACACCTTTGTTTTGGATCAGAGGAAAGTGGTGTATATAGATGTGAAATGAATTGGCCTAGGTTATCCATACATTTAATGACACACTCTAGCCAGAAATCCAGGTTTTCAAAAATAGTTGAAGTCTCATGAAGACCAGCATCATAATGTGTTAGCTATGTTTTCTTTCTCTTTGTAAAACAGATAAGTCCTGTCAAGTTCCAGAATAGAGGGCTTAAGCTGAATTTGAGGAAAATGTTTTATCCATGCATTGAAGGACTGCCTAAAAAGAAAACAGTTGAAGATTAGTGAATAAGGTAAATAATGGATCTAGGAATTTAAGAAAAGTTATCTTAAATGGTATATCCTATTTAAGTATGACATTTATGCTAACATTTTAATGTTTTGCTAAGTATTTAATAAAGTTTTTTATTTAAAAAAACTAATTTATTGCAAATGTGTTATAATATTAGACTTAGTTCAGCACAAGTACCGGAAATCTAGCTAGTACAACCAAAAAGGTTACAATCAGGTTTCATCTGTCAACTAGTGCCACCTTAACCTAACTGCAGACATTATATTTTGATACTTCCATAGATCTGGAATCTCATAGTGTAGGCAGTCCCTCCAATGAGATTACAGCCCATCTATGTCCTCGTATCCTATATGACTTGTCTATAATTTCTTATAAATCTTCCACAAAGGATCCACACTTCATGCTGGGAGGCTTCCTTCAAATCCCTTAAATTACAGAGATGTGACTGGCCCACCTTCTTTTTCCACTCATATATTTCTCTGATACCACACTTAAAGCCACTACTGTTGCTTAATTCCTTGCCAGTAATGTGCTTCCATCTATTCTTACCCACTGCATATTCCCAATTTATCCTTGGGGTAACACTTATTTGTGTATGTGTGTGTGTGTGTGTGTGTGTGTGTGTGTGTGTGTTTTAATGAATGATAAAGTATTTATTAAACATTTGTTGTGTTCTAAACATTGTACTCAAGAATGAGAATACACACACACACACACACACACACACACACACACAGCAAGACAGCCCATGCTCTCAAAGAACTTACATTCTAATGAGAAAGGACAACATATAAAGGGGAGTTAGAAGGGGGAAGGGAGTCTATACAAGACTGAATGATTTGGAAGTGACTAAAAAGTGATGTGGAGGCCTGCTTCCTGGTAAAATAAAATAGAAAACCCACCTCTCAAAATTCAATATGTTAGGGATAGAGTCCAGGCTCTTATGAGATGGAGATATTATTTGGTTCTCATTAGGCTCCTGACTATTTTCTTATATATGTATATATTTATGTATGTATATATATACATACACATTTATAAAGTATTATATATATGTGTGTGTGTATATATATAAATTCATTATATGTAGGCAAGGTCTATGTGTAGACCTTGTATGTATGTCTATAGATAGATAGGTCTATGTATAGACCTATGTTTATCTATATATAGACCTCTGTAGGGTCTACAACCTTTGACATCTCTTATTTCTTAATCCTGAACCGTGTTTTCCAACATATGCTTTACCAACCTTCCCAATGCCCAGCTCTGCATTAAAGTAATGAAATTGTAAAATGCACGTTAATTTAATTCCTATTGAGCTATCAATAAATTTCTCTCCTCATCTTGTTCAACAGATGAGAGTTCATGAATTGTCATTATTTTATGATGGTCTTTTGGAAATAAATATTTATCAGTAGTAGTGTTGAGAATAAAAGATGATGAAATATTTCAAGGACTTCCTTTCATCTATGGACATGATAAAAACCAACTCTGCCAGATCCTTTATTTGCCTCTCCAGGGAGAACCTGTGAATTATCTTTCCATTTACTTGCATGGTCACTCTATCTGAGACAGCTAGATAGCCCACTGGACTTGGAGTCAGGCAGACCTGAGTTCAAATGCAGCTTCAGACACTTACTAGCTACGTGACCCTCGGTAAGTCTCTTAACCTGTGTATGCTTCAATTTCTTCATCTAAGTAGAAGGGAAGGGATGAAATGACTCTACTTTTTTTTTAATCCTTCATACCTTAATTAGATGGATTTAGAGCAAGTGTTAAAATCCTTTGAAATAGAGTGACCTTGCACAGGAATCATGGTCAGAAAGGCCAAGACAACTTAGCTACTCTGCAGAAGTCATCATCAATCTAGTTATGACTGGATTCAATCAAAAGTTCAGAACAAGCTTGGCATTAAACCAACCTCCCTGAGAAGGAATTGTTTGGGGGGTGGGAAGTCCTTAGCTCTGGCTTTGGCCTAGGTCTCCTCCCCACCTTTCTAATTTTGAAGGATCTGAAGGATGTTGGACCCTCCCATCTTCCCTTGATGTTCTGGCTGCCTCCCTGGATCACTACTGACAGCAGTGTTTGAATCATTGTAGATGGAAGTGGATTTACCTTACTTAAGGGGAACTTCTTGAGTACCCCATGAGTGGGAAAGGGGGGCTTTCAGCAAGCAGTAGCTGTGAGTTGCCCTACTGCACGTGTGATCTCTAAGTTCAAGCCTACTTTCCCCTAAACTCTGTTTGTACTTATGGACAGTGTGTCACAGACTTTTTTTTTTGGGGGGGGTGGAGATTATTGTGCCAAAAATCCTTACTGTATCACTTTAGTAAATACTCCTTTCTGAAAGCTTTCTAGGGCTGACTGAATGATTCTCAACTGATAATTTGGTGGAAGGAAGAACCTAATAGAATGGGAGCTCAAACTGATGGCATTAGAAAATTAAGCCTGATTAGAAAATCCATCACCTTGAGGGAGAAATGTGGCCAGGCTCTGAGGACTCAACGCACCAGTAGGAATCAGTGCCATACATTGTGCTAAGCAACAGGAATGCAAAGAGAGGAAAAGAACAACAGCAAAATGGGGCCTCTGCCCACAAGGAGCTCACGTTCCAAATATGAGTAATTATGTACATCTATGGAGAGCAAGTGGGAGATAATCGTAGGAGTAGTGGGAGTAGGGCTAAGAAGCCTCTTATGTAAAATAGGGATTATAATATTTTCCGTATCTAATTCACAAGGTTGTCATGAGGAATTCCCATATAAATGCCAATTACAGTTAGTGGGAAAGGGCTCTTGTCAAGAGACCATGTGACTGGGATGGAGCCAGAAACCCTTTCTTGTCTTTCAAAAGAGAAGCTTAAGTGGAAATAAAGTCAAGCCTCCAAACGTTGCCCTATGACATTTGCCGTGTGATTACAAATCTGAAAAGGCTAAGGGGAGAAAAAGATAAAACGCCCTTTGGACACCAATATTATGCTAGAACAAAAGCAACCTGGGAGTATTTTGTTTTTGCTGAAAGTATGTTCTGTCAGCAGTAATCATATTGTTTCAAATTAATGGGAAGCTGTGAATGAAATGTTCTAGCTTCAGGGGGAGCCAGTTTTCATTTATTGTCCTCTATCTCTTTGGGGGGCCTTTCCTCAGTCCCCTCTTTATCCATGGGGCAGACTGCACTCACTACCCTCACTCTAATGTCACTATAGCTTTCTCACATAAACGCTATGTCAATCAACCCAGCAGCTCTCCATGCCAGCTAGCTGTCCCCTTCATGTGTCAGCGGAACTGAGACTATAGATTGAAAGGATTTCAGTAACAAGGACAGCAGGTAGTAAGGGATAGAATTGGCTGGACTGACATTTTCCTTTGGTGATAAAGTTATTGAATAATCTTAATAGAATCATTACAAGCGCGGGCCTTACTTCACCCAAAAGGAAAAAAAAAGCAGTTAATACTCCTAAGAAGTAGGGACTGATCCAGAATTTATCTCCCAACAAAGTGATTAATAATTGAATCCCCCCAAAATGGTATTTGTTTTCCAGTTGCCAAGACCCTCCTTGGAAAGAAAAAATAACTTTCAGGGTCACAGGGGCTTTTTAAAATCCCAGGAAAGAATGGTACAAATTGACAAGGTCATGAGGGAGATGAATGAATGGGCTAATGGATTTCATGTTACTTTCCACCACCTTTCTGGCATGGCATCTGGCCTCTCTGTGGGATATAAGAGAAGAGGGGGGAGAACTTTCTTTCCCTCCTTCCCTTCCAGTATGAAATTCTCCCTACCTCCACAACATCTCTCAAGCCTGTCAACTGCTGTACATTCATAAAGCAGCCACCACTTATTTCACACCCTCATTGCCTATACACGGACTATTGCAAAAGCATCCTAATTGGTCTCCCTGCCTCAAGTCTCTCCTCACTCTAAACCATTCTCCAAACTTCTGCCAATGGGATATTATTTTTAATTTTTTTTAAATGTTTTGTTCCAATTACACATGAAAACAACTTTTAATATTCTTTTTTGTTTTAAATTTTGAGTTCTAAATTGTGTCCCTCCTTTCCCCTGTCCCTGAGACAGCAAGCAATTAGATATAAGTTATACTTGTGCACTCACGCAAAATCAATGTGATGTTCTTAAAGCAGGGATCTAACCATGTTACTCCCCTGTTCAAGAAATTCCAGGGACTCCCTATTGCCTTCAAGATAAACTATAAACACCTCCATTTAGCATTTAAAGTACTTCAGCATTTAGTTTCAGTCTGCCTTTAAAAGCTTATTACACTGCTCATTTTCATCCAGTTAAACTGGCCTTCTGTTCATCATATGCTGCATTCCATCTCATTTCTCGGTGCCTTTGCTCAGGCATCCGCCCCAAGTCTATAATGCACCCCTTTCTTACTTCAGTCTTCTAGAATCCCTAGCCTCTTTCCAAGCTTAGCTCAAGTATCACCTCCTACGTGATGCCTTTCCTGATTTCCCCTGCCTGCCCCACAACTGCTAGTGCCTATCTTACCCCCAAATTCTCTTTCATCTACTTTGTATGTGGTTGTTTACACTTATATGCATACATGCCATTTCATCTGATAGGACACACATTCATTGAGGGTAGGGACATTTTTGTCTTTGTATCACCCATGACTTCCACAGTACCTGGCACAACATTAGGTACTTAATAATTGCTTGTTGATTGACCAAATGATCATAAATTCAGCATTGGAAAGGACCTCAAAGAGGGTATAGTCCAAGCCATCCCTTTTACAGATGAGGAAATTGCGGTCCATGAAGGTTAAGTGAATTGCTCAAGGTCACACAGGGATCAGATGGCAGAGCTGAGATTTTAAGGCAGGTCCCCTGCCTTCAAATCCAGCACTCTTTCCTCTATGCCACACTACTTGATTCTTAAAGCAACAGCAATATGAGCTGTGAAGAGTAGTATAATCAGTAATAGCAACAACACAGTTCTTGTCTTCAAGCTTTGTTCAGTTGTTGTCAGTTGTTTCCAACTCTTCATGACCCATTTTGGGGATTTTCTTGGCAAAGATAGTGGAATGGTTTGCCATTTCCTTCTCCAACTCATTTTACAGATGAGGAAACTGAGGCAAACAGAGTTAAGTGACTTGCCCAGGGTCATACAGCTAGTAAACGTCTGAGGCTGTATTTGAACTCACAAAGAGGAGTCTTTGTGACTCTTGGCCCAGTACTCTATCCACTGTGTCACCTAGCTGCCTTGATCCCTGTTAAAATGTTCCCCTCCTTGGAGAGTGAAGCTTCATTCTGTTATCAGTCATTTACACATTAGGAGGTACCAATGTTCCCTACATAGTCTCTAAACTGGACATCTATTGCTCTGTTGCTGTGCTAGCTACATGGACCTGCAGCCTAAAGAGCATTTATCCTGATAACTCCAGTCTTCCTAGTAGAATATGAGCTTCTTAAGGGCAGGGACTCTTATTTTTGTCTTTATCCCCAAGTGTCTAGCACAGTGCTCTATCCAGTGATTAGCTGGTAAGTGGATAATACTTAGCCAAAACCATTCTAGGACAATATACCATTTCAGAGGAGAACCAGGTAACCCTTCATGTAGGATGGGGGAGTATAAAGAATACTAGGGACCTGGGTTCTAGTCTTGCTCACTCCAGGTTATATAACTCTAGCACTGTGGTCCCCAAGATTTTTTTTTAAAATACACCCATATCAGTAAATAACTTTCTGAATATAACCTAATAGTTGTATATTTATATACTATATATATTATATACATTATAGAAATATACATAAAATAGCAGTTTAAAGAATAAGATAAGAATGAAATAAATATTTTGATAGGCATTTTTTATTTGTCAATGGTAGAAAAAAAAAAATTGCCCTTCCTACAGCCATGAGGTGATCTTTGGAAATAGTGGATGGACATGCTGAAGAGGGAGGAATTTTCCCAGTGGCACCCATGGCAGATGCTGATCAGGGTTGCCTGACATAAGTGCACTGAGGCAGCTCTAAAGTAAGGAGGATGGGCACTTTTATAGCCAAAGAAGAGGATAGAGTAAGAATTATGGACGATAATGAATGAAGAGTAGGTGTGGTTATGTTGGAGAAGCTACATGGCTGGTTCTTGCAAGAGGAACTCAATATGACCTGTCTTCCAAGGCTCCCACTGGTTAACCACCCTCCCCTTAGGATCGTGCCACAGCTTCCATTTAGGATTCCACTGCCCTAATAAGACCTACCAGGAACTGCTAGGTTCAGATATTGGCTTTGGTATTTAGTAGCTGTGCAGCTTTGAACAAATCTCTCCCTCTCCTCCCATCCCCCCACATTCATATTCCTCACACACCCTTTCACATAGTCTCCTCATTTCTAAAACGAAATAGATGACATGTACGGTCTGTCCCACTCTATGCTCAATGATATTCACAGTAGATATCTAAGTTAAGACTTTCGTGTGCAGATAGCTGTAAGTAAAATAAGCAAAACAAGTCAACAGCCATTTCCTGAATATCTGCTAGGTGTGACACTCTATTAGCCCATGAGGGGGATATAAAGAAGATCCCATACTGACCTCAAGAAGTCAAGGAACTTACTGTACAATCTTGATGGGTAAATATAACACATACCTATGAAAAGTTAGCTAACAATAAAAAGTGATATATGACCAGTGTCTGAGTGGTACAGACAGTAGGCTTGGTAATGGCTCAGGAAGACGTTAGTTCGCCTCCCTCAGAGAAAGGTTCATAGAGGTAAGATTTTGATAGGTGAAAAGGAGAGCAGAGGGCATTCTTGGTAGTTTGTGTAAGGGAGGAAAAAGGGCAAAGTGAGGAAACACAAGGAATTCCAACTGTCCCACTAGAGCAGAGGGGAATCGAAATTATAGGATCATAAGATAGTGGATCTAGAATGGAAAATACCCCAGAAGCCATTGGTCCAATCCTTCCATTTTCCAGATGAGAAAACTGAGGCCCATAGAGGTTAAATGATAGCAGAAATGAGATGTAAACCCCTTAGGACTTTACAGTCAGTGTCCTTTTAACTGTGCCAGACCCATGGACCAAGAAGGGACTTCAAAGGCCATCTAATCCAACCCCCTTATTCTCCAGATTAGGAAACTGAGGCCTAAGGAGATTGTATGACCTGCTGAAGGTCACACTGTAAGATAAGCAGAAGAGAAAGGATGTAAATCGAGATCTAATTCCACAGCCATTGCTTTTTGGACCGTAGCAGACTCACAAAGCTATATGGAACTACAGATGTCCTCTATTCCATCTCCTTCATTTTGAAAAAGCACCAAGAGTATTGGCCTCAAGATCAGCTGGATTTGAATCCTGCCTGACACAACAATTTTGTGATCATAGGCAAGGTACTTAATTACTACATCCTTCAATTTCCTCAACCGAAAAATTGGGATAACTGAATTTCTTGCTTTCTCTATGGATGGGGGAAGGGTGGAAGGGGAGAGACAATGTGGAACTGAAAAAAATAAAATAAAAATTTAAATCAAAAAGAAATTGGTGTGATACCTGTGGTCCTTACCTTACAAGGTTATGGTGAGAACCAACTGAAATTATTTATGCACACATACACACACACACACACACACACACATACACATACACATGCACATACACATACATATACAAATACAAATACATATACATATACACATACACATGCATATATATATATATATATATATATATATATATGTAGTGCTTTTCCAAACTCAAAGTGCTATATGAATGTTACCTATAGTTATCTTTTTAAATGTGATCTTGTGCTGTAATTTCATCATTGGAGGTAATTCCTTGTGTGGATAATCCTCCACTGATGCAGATCATGAACTCCTCTGGAGCACTGAAAAGTTAAATGATTAAACATGGTAATTGAGAAGCAGCTGGTGGTGCAATAGATAAGAGAACTGGGCCTGGGCTCAGGAAAATCAGAGTTCAAATCTGGCCTCAAACCTTTACTAGTCCTGTGACCCTGTGAAAGTCACTTAACCTCAGTTTCCTCAGTTATAAAATGGGATAATAATAGCCCATACCTCACTGAGTTTTTGTGAGGGTTAAAGAGATGATATTTGTAAAAAGCACTTGGCACCTAGTAGGTGCTATATCATTCCCTCCCCATGCTCACATAACTCCAACAGGTCAGAGGCAAGACTTGGACCAAATGCTCCTGACTCTAAAGTTGGCCCTCTGCATTCCTTCTCTCACTAAAACTATCTTCTATCTCTATCCATTTATATGCCTATTTATGGACGTGTCTCCCCTATTACAATGTAAGTTCCCTGAGGACAGGGAATATGTTTGTTTTTCTTTGTATCCCCAGAACTTAGGTCAAAGCATGGCCCATAGTAAGCCCTAAATAAATGCTTATTGAATGCTTACACCACACTGCCTGTCATTATTGTCATTGTCATTATTTTGGAGAAGAGAAAAATGAGGACCACAGGGAAATGACTTGGATGGAGATATCTTTGCCAGCATCTAGGTTACCCATCAAGGTTAGTATTGGAGCTGGGACTAGAACTCATATGAACCTACAGGAAGCAGTAGAGATAAGACTGAAAAGGTACTAGGGGCAAAATGATGAAGAACTTTGAATGTCTTGAAATTTAAGATACAGAACACCACTTAAATTGTGTGTAAATAAAGTCTTTTCATTTATGAATTTCTTCACTCTTCTTTGCTCCTGATAAAGGCCCATACTGTATTAGGTAAGTTAAGTGCTTGGTTTCTACCAAATGGATGATTCCCCTATATTAGAAATATAACGAGCTGAACCTTTGACAACTTCTATTCACCCTGCTGCTTGAACTCCAATGAAAACCTCTTCACTAAAGCTGGCAATAAGCCAAATCTCACTTGAAATTCATTTCATCATCACATATTTTAGCTGTTCTTTCTGCTCAATTAATTGTGTCCAACACACCCATCTTCATCAGGAAAAAATAAATCCTAGAGGTAAAGCCAGTCCCAGTCAAAGTCTATTTTGTACATGTACGAGACAGAGGTAACGAATGAGCCTACCAAAAAATACTTAAGTTGCCCCATTGTACAGACTTAAAATGAACATCGGAGGTGAGTAAGAGGCCATGGAGAATCAAAAATACAAACAACACCACTTTTCAAGAGACTTTTCTTCATTTGAGATTGTATGCATAAAGCCGCATATTAAGCACAAATAGTTGCTTCCAAATCTCCAGCATCCTGGGATCATGACTGAAAGGAATGAGAGTAGTTAGTATAATTTGAAGACTGCTTGCATGCAAAGGAATATGTGTGCTTCCTGCAACCCCCTGTAATAAATAATTCATTTGGACCCCTACTCTATTCCAATCAGTACTAATCAGTTTGATATTCTACATAAATCATATAGGGACAGACAGGTTTTTCTAGTGGGCCTCAAACTACAATGTAATGTTCACTACTAGCTTACCAAGTTATGAGGCTCACTTGCACAATCACAAGAATGCTGACAAAGATATCTCCATCCTGTTTTGCTTAAATTTCATGTCCAAACCCAGCATGAGTGGCTCTGATGCTTGGAAAGTCCCCCAACTTATTTTATTTATTTGTTTGTTTCTTTGTTTGTTTGTTTATTTTTGGTGAGGTAATCAGGGTTAAGTGACTTGCCCAGGATCACACAGATAGTGTCAAGTGTTTGAGGCCAGATTTGAACTCAGGTCCTCCTGACTCCATGGCTGGTGCTCTATCCGCTGTGCCACTTAGCTGCACCTCCCCCAACTTATTTTTGTACCTTCAGACCATTCTGTCTTGCCCAACATGAACAGGTGACCATCTTATGACCACTTAGTGGAGATGCCCCCTGCTTCATCCAACCTGTGAGCCCCTGCTAATATGTCATTTTTGGCCCTCAAGAACAAGGTCTTCTGTCTTCTGCCATGCCCCTTTTGCGTGCTTGGGTATGAAATCCTATAAAAACAAGGTATAGAAAAAGGGGGCATTTCAGATCTTGAAGAAATTCTGAGGCCTTACTTCATTGGAGGTGACAAAGTGCCATTAGCTCAGAGCTCTGCCTCAGTCTCTTTTCTTGCAGCTTGGACAATTTTAATCCCCACATCTCCCACTATTATCAAATACCAGAGAAAGGATTAAATAGTGTCTTGCCCTGCATGACTCACGATGGCTCTGAGGAAGGCTGAGGCCTAGCACACCTCAGAACCATTTGACATAAATTAAAAACTGGACACCAACAACCATATGTACATTGAAACCTACTTTTCAAAGAGGTGGGTAATTTCACTGCCTTTTCAACAGCTATGGTAGAATAATAAAGCAAGTGGTTTATTAAGCAACTGCTTGGCCATCAGTCATAGAAAATACCATTGAAAGAAAGCCTGAAGGGAGAGCAACCTAAAGCTTTGACAGCACGTAGCACCACAGAGCAGGATGTAGAGTTGGTCAGTGAATCAATAAACATTTATTAAGCATCTACTATGTGCCAGGCACTCTACAAAGCACTGGGGAGGCAAAAAGAGGTTAAAAAAAAAGTCCCTGCCCTCAAGGAGTTTGCAATCTAGTGGCAGAGACAACAAGTAAACAAATATTTACAAACAAACTACATATAGTACATTCTTCTTTCTAGTGCCTTCTTCAGTGGCATATATTAAAATATCAAATCTAGGCACGGGCCTTAAAGAATCCAGAAATTAGACTTCCTTCTTTGAGAGTCTAGGTCTACCATAGATTGTACATTTGGAGATTTACACTCACCCTCAAATACACAATTACACAATTTAAGAGATAAAAGAATAAAATTCTCATAGGTTATACTTTTTTCTTGTTGATTTCAAAGGCCTGCTTCAAAACAAAATAATGAAAAAGAGGAGAAAAAAAATCAAGCTCCCTCATTGAAGAGGGAAAACCTGTTCCTAGAAGTACTTCCAACAAGCATAGGGGTCTCCTTCACCTTTAATTGAAAAATCACACTCTTCAGTGTTAAAATTCTTCAGGGTACCAGAAAAACATATTGAAGAACACCTGAAGCAGCTTCAGGGATCCCTGTAACACATAGGGCATTCCAAATGGAGGCCTGGGATAGGCAGACAAGCTTGAATAAATCTTACTCAGATAAGTCTCCGAAAAGATGTGGGGCTCCCCAAAAAGGATTAATTTCTTGATTAAATGGGGTTTCTAGGCTATCAGACAAACCTTATATTATTGACCTATAGTCCATAAGGATCTCAGACAAATATTCTGAACTTATACAAAAGATTAATATGGATGAGCTCCCAAAGTTTACTAAGGCACATTGTTAAGTATGAGTTTTTTGAGGATATAACATCTATAACACTAATATCAGCTTCCATACTCATAATGCATGCAGTAATACAATATATAATAGTAGCTAAGCTTTTAATCCTATGAAAATCATATTTTAAAAAAAACTTGTCTGGTTTATAAAGGAAACTCACTGGAACACTGTTAAATCACAATCTGAAACAAAAGTATAAAAACATGACTTTTCCTTCTGTAGATTTCTGCCATACTAGGGTATCCAAAGAGCAGAGTCCCAGTTAGAGAATCTCTCTGTTGAGTTCTTGAAAATATATATGGCACCACAATGTATTATGGACAAAGCCCCCGTGTTGCAGTACTCCCTGTTGGGCTCCCTTCTTAATCTGACATTCACATTTTGAGGGATGAGTCCCTCCAAGAGAAGGTAGTGTGGTAGATAGTGGCTAGACTCAGGGCTTGGGAGTCAGGAGGAACTTGGTTCAAATCTTACCTCAGACACCTAATTATATAGTCCTGGCAAACCATTTACTTCTCTCTGACTCGGTTCCCTTATCTGTGAAATGGGAATAATAGCGTGTATCTCACAAGTTTATGGGAAGGCTCAGATAATGTATATGAAGTATTTTGCCAACCTTAAATTACAATTATTATATATGTTAATTATTATTACCGTTTATCCAAGGTGCTTTTTTGGTTCTCCACCCCTAAAATTATAGCTCACAAGCTCCATGCTTAAATTTTAAAATCAGCCAAAGAGACACTATTAACACAAAGGAAATGCATTTATTGAGATGGCATAGTAAAGAGATTAATTATGAATTGCTCCTTCCCCCTTCTCTGCCCAAAACGAAATTAAAACAACACATAGCAGCAACAGTGAAGAGAGTGAGGCATACATAGAGTGAACACATTTGGCCAAAGCAATTCGTATCTCTGGTGTTCTTTTTCTTCTC